GCTGTAGCAATCATTTACACGCTGTAAGGACGGATGTGGTACTGCAGAAGGAAATACCAGAGCTGTAGTAAAGCAAAGTCTAACAAGACCCAAAGCCACCAGAACGTTACAGGAAAAGGTAGGCATTACTAAGGGATGTGCATTTGGGAGCATCTTCTGCAAGACTTGCAGGGTTCGCCTTCAGCTGTACCCGGTGCCAAAAAGGCCTTTGCTGATACTGTCTAGAGGGAGTAAAGAGAAGAGCAGGGGGAGTGAGGTCTGGGAGATATCATCTGTGAGGGAAGAGTGAATGAAATGGGTTGTGTTTTCTACACAGAAGAAGACAGAGAAAAGTACATAGGAGACTTAGAAAGAGCAGTGCATTCCCTCCCATGTTTGCCAGTGGACTAAGTTGCAGTCAGGGAGGCACAGATCAGATATTAAGATAATCTTTCTAGCAGTGAGGCTAGGGGAACACTGGAACAGGCAGACTAGGATCAAATCCTCACAACTGGAGTTTTCTAGGACAAAGACAGACCACAAATGGTGTGCCTAGAAAGGAATCTGCTCTGAGGCATTGCCTGGAAGGAAGATAGCCCAGGTATTTCCTATGACTTGTTGGACTGAACAGCTTTAAAGTGTCATGGTGGGGCTAGTCAATACAATTTGTCTTCAGCTGCTTTTTGGTTTGGTTTGTGTTTTTTTGTTTGTTTGTTTTTGTGTTTGCTTTTTTTCTGGTCGTTTTCCCTTGGGTTAAACTAATATAATCATAAAGTATTAGAGTAACCAGAGCAACATACAGGAGCTACTGCAACCCCTTTCCAAATCTGTTACAGCCCATGATGAGTGATGCAAGTTAAAATTTAAGAAGTTGTATACTCATTTTCCCCCGTACTGATTCTGAGGTTTTAATAAATTTACCTGAACAAACGCAGCAGTTTTATTTAATCTGGTCATATTAGTCTCATATGAGTGCTGCAGATCTCTACAGCTCCTTCTCATTGACTGTGGTATATGTATTAATGAATAAAAAATTGATGAGCTTTAGGCCTTCTTCCTTGCTTCCTTTCCCCTCTCCCATCAATGACTCAACCAACGAGCTAATAGAAACATTACTGAGAAACAGAAACCTTCAAGTAAGTAATTGCCAGTCTGTTGCAGGGGATAGAAACATATGGATAGGCTGGAGAGCAGTGTGAGGTGCTGAAAAAATACACCCAGGTGGGGGGAATTCACTAAGGGACAAAGATGTTCGCTGTTAAGAAATTTAACTTTTAATATTCAGTATTTGTGACACTTCACTGAAGAACAGTGAGAGCCAGTATTAAAATGCATTTAATCGCTGGTGTCCACAAAACAGCATATGACTTAAATTATGTGCGGAGAGCCATAAGCCACAAATATTTAGTCTGTTGCCTTTCTTGAATCAGGTATTAGCTAAAGTTTGTCATCCTGCAAGATTTGTCTGTGAGGAGGGAAACGGATGCGGGAGCTGGCGACTCTGACACAATCCAGTTTATTTACCAAGAGCCGTACACAGGACGAATGGAAAAAGAAAAAAAAAAAAAAAAGACTGCTTCTTGACTTTTCCTTTGCATGGCTCTGCAAGTATTCCTGACACTGTGCCTAAGGGTGATTCCTTGCATTTAGCTTCCCTACTTTTTTTGCCCACTGCATTCATAAGAGGTTTCTAATTCAATTAATGCCCAGCCTCTGTGTGCCCCTGAGCTCTGAGCACAGTTGGCACCACAGCAGAGCCTCACTGTGTGCCCGTGTTCTTCCTAGCAGCCTCCGTTTTTTAAATTACCCAGCTGCACCATGGACATCGTCAGCTTCTTTACATTTACACCTCGTGGAAGATGCCCTCAAGCTGACCATGAAACTGTGTTTAAATGACCCAGTAAATGGTGTGTTAGCCACATTTGGACATGTCTAAGAACGATTCACAACAATAATAATAAAAAAAATGTTGGGAATGATGCAGATTCAGGCAAATATACTGACACCGTTCACCTTGGGCCTGATCCAAAACCCACTGAAGTCAGGGCAAGTATCACCAGTGATGTCAGTGGGCTTTGGATCGGGACCAAGGCTTCTCCAGCCTTTACTCAGATCTTACTCTGGCAATTCTCCCATTGAAGTCAATGAGATTATTTGCTGGTATAATAGAGCTCACTGTCAGGAAGATTTTAATGATATTCAACCTACATTTTCCATGTCTTCATATCACCCCATTACTCCTAGTTATATCTCATTATCTTCTTTTTTCTCAGGGACCCAACCCTAACCTCCTTAGTCAGGCAAAACTCCCACTGACTTCGATTAAGGAAGCAGAAGCTCACTGTGATCTTTACTATCTGGAGGCTGCTGTAATGCCCCCCATTATGTCATCGTATAGGCAATCCATGCGTGGCATTTTTTCTTGTAAAGACTGCCGTATTGAGGCTATGGCTTAATACTGAAGAGGAGAGAAAAATGAAAAGATTTGCCAGTATAATTTCAAGACATACAGCAATATGAATTTTTAAATATCATTTGATCTTATAAAAACATTTTATCATCTTTCCATCAGATGTACATCCTCACAGCTATATAAAAATCTGTAGTAAAATTATTGTAAGTAGTTTCTTTGATTAAGAACTCAACATTTGTGGTTTAGAATGGCTTTATAATTTGCTGTGGACAAGATGGATAACATGATACCTCCTTCTCAACGATCATTTATTATGTATAATTTGGCCTTTCTGGATTGTTGGACTGGACCGTGTCCTAAATTACCAGAAGTTAAATACTTCTCATATACGTTAAAAATGATAATTTTCTATAAGTTTGTATTAAAAGCTTGGATTTTATTCAAAGTTAAGACATCAAATATCTCCAATGCTCTTCATGCAAATAAATTGTTTCATATATCCAGACAGGTTAAGCTCAGGTAGTTCAGACCCGTTAGTCTCTCCTCATGGTCTCAGATGCTCCAGATAAAAGTACCTACCCATAGTGTCACATACTCATAATCGATCACGGTGGATTTACATGTGTATTCCCTTTGCTATTAGTTATATGCATTTTTTTTTCAGCAACTCTCCAGTGATCACATATACCAGGACGAAAAATGTGAAACATTATTGCATGCTCAGTGTTCATCGCTGTTGTCCTTACTTGCTCGCCCCACGCCAACGTTACGCTGGTTTATGGCAAATGGAGGTACAGCTCTCGGGTGACCATTCAGAGCTATTTCTTTGATAAGACAAATGCAAACACTCCATTGCTTGTGCAGTTAAGGATTTCTTCAGGAATGTTGCAGTGAAATTTGAGAGGCATTTAGTCATCAGCGGAAGAAGTTCACTTCTGTATTCCAGCCCATCTCTCCTTTTCAGATATGAGGCAGCACAGATAACTAAGGTTTAAAATGTGTGCTAAATAATGGCTTGAAGAGTGGCATATCTGCATTATCGCTTTAAGTTCAAACCAGTTTGCTCTTGAAATGCATCTACTAATTATCCTAACTTACCATTCTTTTGTTTGCATCCTGAAGCATGAAAATTGGACTCCTTTTGAACTAAGCTAAACCAAAGATCACAGAATGATATAGAAGCACAGAACCACAGAATGGTTTGGGTTGGAAGGGACCATAAAGACCACCTATTTCCAACCCCATGCCTTGGCTGCCTATTTCAAAGAGACCAGTCCTGTAGAACGTTTTTCCCACTCAGTTTCCTGGTATTCAACATGGTCCTTCCTTGACCACAGACTTAATGGTGCAGCTTTTTCAATAGCACACATTAGACAAAATGTTGGCAGGTAAGAGAAAATGCTCATCAGTGGAGTCCAAACAGCATCCTAGCTTGTATACACGACTTCCAGGCAAGAGAAAGGGGATGAAACTCACCCCTCCAACCTGGATACGCTCTATGAGAAGGGCAACGTGAGCTTTGTTAGATATGGCGTCAGCTTTGATTTGATTAGCATTTAATTATAATGAGTAAAATTAGACACTTTAACCCATAGTGTGCGTATCTGTTATTTACTGTAGCTACACTCTCCAGTGTCATATATTTTAAAATGTCCAGTTAAATTCGGATGTGTTTGAAAGGTGTCTGATTTTTTTTAATCAGCATCATGTGAGTACTATTTTTACCTGATATTATATGGGTTTTGCAGAAATATATACGTCGGACTGTCAGCATCTCTTATTTCCAATAACCTTATTTTCCTCATTAATAACTGACCTAGAGCAATAAGAGCCAACCAAGAATTCAAGCAAGTGAAACAATCCACTCTTCTGGGCCCAGCGCTTTTTGCTGCACTGAGCCTTGACAGTGTAAGCAGCAACATGTCTGCTGGAAACTAATTCTCAGCTCCCCAGACAACAGCTTCTTCCTGCATTTCCTCAGTTTCACCCACTTAGCTACTCTAGCCCTAATACAATAACTTAATCCATGTACACTAAAAACCCTGTTAATATTCTTATATGGAAAATTAGCAAACATATATATAGATGTAGATATATATAGAGAGAGGGAGAGATATATAGATATATATATAAAGACAAACAGAACACAGATGATAAGCAAGTATGTTTAGCATAACAGATCCCAATGTCATTATCTTGTATATATACTTCCTGATCCAGACCAGTTTGTAAATCTCAACTCTGAGATTCTATCTGATTAAACAGAAAAGCTATGTTGAAGAAGCCATGCACAAGAGATGTTTGTAATGTAATATAAAAATGGTGTTGGGGATCCTAATACACTGTAATTGACCACGCAGAATTTTTCAGTGAAAAGATAATTTGGTATTAAAATTGTGCAGTGCTTAAATAATGTAATTTTGATAATGGCAGTAAAATAAAATTTCTGTAATGCAAGTGAATCATAAATTTTAACATTTTTTTTCTCATTCAAATGAAGTATATAACATGTCTGAATGCTGTAACTATTGTACCTTTTAAAAAGACCTCTGCCATGAACTATTATTAAATATTATTTTATTTAAAATACATAGCAGAAACTGGTGAATTCACAATATAAACATATAGAAGTGCCACATAACATTTATTTGAGAAATAATGAATCCTGTGGGAGCAAGTCAACCTTTTTCCTCCAGACAGTTTTATTACAGATTTTTTTAAAGAGCTGAACCGTAGGAACTCTTTACCCATGTTTAGCTGAAAACTGAAACTGTGATAGGTTTTGACCTTCTGAAGATAAACATTTATTCCCATGGCTACTCAGGGTTCCTGTGGCTCCTTGCGCTGTACCGGGATTCTGAGTCTAAGGCGGCTAATCTGTTCGGCATCTGATCAGACAGAAATGTTGCTAACGTTAAAAAGTGGCTCTTCGTTTGTGGCATTCACCCCATAAGACCTTTTTGCAGCGAGAAGTAGCGTGGCACCAGCAGTAAGGTACGGCAAAGGATATGTGGACTGCTTGGAATGAGACAGGCCACCCAAGCCAAGCCACGTCTGCCAGCCAGTTCAGCGAGTGTTGTAATATATCACATTCCTGCTTTCTCTTTCTTCGGGATGCCTCCTGCTCTCCCGCTCGGGAGAGGCACGTGCTCGTCGCCACCAGCAGCCCAGGCCCCGTGGTGCTCAGCCTCGGTGTGATGCTCACAGCTCATGGTGCCTCCTCCTCACGTGCACAAGTCTGCACCACAACACCAGGATCCTTGTGTAAGACCAGGTGAAGGGTAGGGAGACCACAAGTTCATTGTGCCCCCCTTTGATCTGCGTCTTCACGTGGGATCCCCGCGTGGTCGGACGGTAGGAAGCAGTTCTGCCTCCGCTGTCTACGGCTGCCAGATATGCCATCGGACACTCTCTTCTGTTTTGTCAAATGTATGTTTGAAGTTGAATATATATAATGTTCCCTCATGCTGCTACATTTCATTTGCAAAGACAGGGTTTACATACTGTAAATTCTACTTCTTACCAAAAATACATTATCCTGGAAGCAAACTGAGTCAAGTGTTCTCAATGTGCCTGTAATTTCTTTGCAATTGTGTGAGGTGTGAAATTCACTTGACTGTTCTTAGTGAAAGATCTGAAGGGTGGGAGATAAAAAATTGTTTTACTTCTGCCAAGCAAGCACAGAGAAGTATAGATTATGTATGTCATTTCTGGAAAGAAGATGGAGGAGCTGTGCTTCCAAAAGACATCCTCAGGCTCAGAGAAAAAGGAAAGGACCTAGGACAAATACCTTCTTCTTTTTTTTTTTTTCCTTTTTTTTTTTTCCTTTTTTTTTTTCTTCTCCCATCATCCATATCAGATATAGAAAAAGTAAAGGTTTATTACACGCTAAGATAAGTATTTGAATGATCTAAATTAAAGTTTTAAATAGAAAAAAATATGCAGAGTGTCCTTGGTACAAACTTGATATAACAAGAGATTTCTGTAACTTGTGATAGAAACGAGAAACAACCTTTTTTTTTTTTTTTGGTGGCAGATGAAATATCTTTTTGATTTTTTTTAAGTATATCCAAAGTATTTTTTCTTCCTTATTTGAAAATGATGATCCGCTCATAAAACCGGACATTAAATTTCATGATATGAAATTTACTCATGAATTAAATGATGGACTTGCATGCAAATGCCTGAATTGGTGGAAGCGACTGGATATTTTGCCTTCTCAGTCATTACCTTAGCATGGCACTAGGAGGCAATCTGCTATTAGAGGTGTCATCCTTCAGACATCAAAGTCCTTGAATATTGCCATCTTTCAACATCAAATGGTGTTGCTCCTGAGAATCTTTAGCAATTTATTTTACGTCAAATTCCAGCCTGCATTATTACCATCTCTTTAGTGTCTTCCAGGTCGTTTTAGGAAAATGGTGCGTTGGTGATCCAGAAGAGCTTTTTTCTGGGGTTCTGACCGCCCATTTGGCCAATCATGACGCCTTCCAGTGTACCAAATATGTAACTGAGGTTAAGTGTGGGAATATTTAGACTGCACGTCTTGACAGGGCTGTGATGGCCAAATTGCCTGTGTTGACAAGATACGTGCATTTCAAGGTATGCCCAGAAGCAGATCAGCTCAGATAACCATAGCAGGGAAAATTTATGAATCTCTGTGGTAAGGACATCTCCAGGGTAGAATGCAGCTGAAAGGGAGCTGGGATTGAAAACGAACAGTTTTGATTCAGTTACCAATAGGGCAGCTAGGTAAAGCTTAAGCTCTTAATGGCAATGAAAAACTAACAGAATAAGTAAAATGTTAATTAGTCAGAAGAAAGAGCATGGACATTCTATAGCTGGACTCCAGAACAAGTTCATTTTTAATTTTCTTTTGCCTTAGTTTTCATCTTCTTTGCTGTCACAGTTGTTCTGGAAATGAATTGATTAAAGCTTTTGTGCCTCCAAATGTTACAATAACACTGTAGGAAAACCAAAGCAAGGTTAATAGATCTGGTTTCACGGTACAGTTCCAAGGTGTTCCACACTACACATAAGGCTGTAGTCACATATTGAAAACTGAGGTGGAATAAATACCTGGTAGCTTGTAAAACCATTCTGTGAACTAACTTTGCAGCTGTTCTTTCAAAAAGGTAGCATAAGCACATGTCTTTCAAGATAGCTTCAACATATGTGTAACCAAGGTTTCACCAGCAAGAATCACACCAGTGATTCCTACCTGTTGAGTGCTTGACTTTGCCACCTTGCATCATTTCATTTGTATAAAAGTTCTTTTGTTGTTCTTGGGATCAAATGTATATTTATATGTTTTGTAATTTTATAAAGAACATATTTAGGTGGTTTAGAAAGATTTGATGTCTATCACAGCGGTATTCTGAGGTAGAGCTAGAAACATGTTTTTAGAAATGTTTTCACAAGTGTTTACCAAGACAGAAAACTGAATTGGACTTGGCCATATTCATGCTCCTCTTGCTTACTTTTTGCGAATATTTTAACTAATAGTTTTGCTGTCAGGATTGTTTATAGAAACAGCACATTTCAGGCAAATATTTCAAAAAATTCATAGTCTGTATTTTAGTCACAAATGGAAACATTTTCACTAGAAATCTAATTATAAGCTTTACTGTAATGTATGTTTTATTGTGTAATCATAAAATTAGGAAATATGCCTCTGCACACATGGTTTCACACTTAGGAACTATGAACTGCTGGGTTAAATAGCAACAACGAAGAGGGCATTGGAAATCACCTACTTGAAGCTCAAGAATTCTAGGTACTAAGTAGTTTCAACAATATAATTTAAATTGTTTGACATTTTCATCCCCTCAGATACTGCCCTTTGCATAAGCCGATCTTAAAGGCTGTATTATAAGTGTTGGGTTGTGGTGTGATATTGCTAGTTGGATCAAGGGATGCAAGAAAATAGATACTGCAGTTTTCAGAGACAACAGAGAATCTTGACCTGGGATCATGATGTACTTAACAGAGAAAAAGAAAAAAATCAAATAATTTCAATTTTCAGGTCTGTTTATCTGTGATTCTTTGTCTGTAAATACTCTTACGGGTTTGAAATCTTACAAAGAATTTTGTCTTGCTTTTTAGAACCTCTCCCTTCACCTTTCAGAAAAGAAAGAATAATCGTGTTTGTGTGTGTCTCTAATATAAACATAATTAACATCAGTGGCATATGGAATTAATGCTGCCTGTAAGGAAAGAGCTTCACAATTAAATCATAGATTTGCTGCTGTGCAGTTTGGAGACGTGAGCTTTGCTCACAAGACAATGGGTTTATATGCCATATTCCATAGATTCTCATTACATGTCTTGTGTCAGCAAAATTATATTAGGCAATCTCACTACTTGCATCAGCTCATATTAATATTATTTGTAAGACAAAATGGCCCTTGATGTTATATCCCTACTCATTATCAGAAATCATTTTGCTCTAGAAATGTTAATAATAAAGTTTACATATGATAACATTACTATTTGTTTTAATAATTTCCAATAAAAACAACTACTGTTTTAGTGACTCATTTTATTTTCTTGTATTTCCTGGCAAGTACTGCATGTCTTTTTAAGGAATATAAAAATAAGTTGGCAACACAGCTCAGAGGCTGACTCCACGGGCCGTGCTTAGGGGAGGCTGCCACTGAAATCCATGACCTGGACAGGACGTACAGGACCAGGGTGCTGTTTGCAGCTTCCAGTCTCTGCTCCCCTGTACTGAAACACTATAAAACAGCATTAACTGAGACTTAAAATAGAATGGAAATCTGCTAATCATGAAGACAGAGAGAGAGAGAGAGAGAGAGAGAGGAAATAAAAGAGAAAGACTGGAAAAAAAAAAAGAGGTGGAATACAGTCAACCTCATCAGTGACCTGCCATGTCAACAACAGCTCATGAAATGGCAGCAGCTTTGGTGCACGGCACCAACACCATCCTAGAAATGCATTACCTAGAAGATTATTAATCAGCAAGTTTAGATTGCTTATTGATTGGCAAATAAATATTAAGATTGCTTAACATTGGCAAAATTAAAAGTACTCCAAATTCTAATTCAAAAACAAATTTGCTGCATATGCATAACCAAAGCTCTCAGTGAATATAAGGCATACATATTGCCAGGTCATCCCATTTGTATTTGAAATATCTGAAATTTGAAATAACTGAAGCCTGTTAACAACAAGGAAATCGTGGAAAAGGTAGTCATGCTGGCATATTTTGGGAAAGACAGGAAGTTTTGTTAACAGTTTAATGAAAGAAAATTGTCAACCTCAGTAAAAAAATGCATTTTTACTTACTTTATCAAGAGTATTTTAACTAAGAATTTAAATTTCAGACCTTTGTAAATAATTTTTGGCCATTATAACATCCTCGTTATGAATGTCAGATCTTAATACTAATGTGAAATCTTTTTCCATGAGCGTTTGTATTTGTTTCATTGCTCTGCTTTGGCTAGCCTTTGGTTTATATTTCTACCTAACCTGGACAAATTCTACAGTCATTTAAACCCATCCAACCCGATCGACCTCAACCATATTCTTATCCTGATTTACAGCCTCATTAGGATTTTAATGATGTAAATGAAAGCAGAATTTGGTCCTAAATCTTCACTCTAAATTAAAGAGTGCATTCACCTCTCAGCGCGGGACGTGGGAGTATGTGCTTCAAACAGAGCATACGCAGCTAAAACTTGGCAGGCAAGGTCTCAGCTAGAGGGTGGATTTTTTTTTTAATGTTGAGCTCGCTTCTCTCCTCCGATAAGCAGGCACACATTCCCGTGTATCTTGTAAAATCTCTAACAGTTCTACACATGCATGTACAAGCATAGTGCTGTTTTTACAAGATAGAGAACAATTCTTACTCACATATCTTTCTGATGAGGGAATCAAGTCATCAGCCTAAATGTATTTGGCTTTGCTTCAGTTGCAAGACTCCAGACGGAACGGGCGCTTGCCAGCTGTTGGTGCTCTCCTGGCGTAGCTGTAGCAGGGCCATGGATCGGTCCCTCCTGCAGTGCAGTTCCTGTCCCAAAACTCTCCAGTTAGGATGGCAGTGGAGGAGAAAGGGCCATCTTAGTTTTCTGGTAACATAGAAAACCCAACCTCAAAGCCTGATCACAGAAGGCAAAAGAAAAATTCTCATCGACTTCAGTGGCCTAAATCAGTTCCTGAAAAATACCGGGTATCGACTTCAGGATCCTCTACAAATTTAAGCCAGAAAGCCTCTGCTACTTACAATGCACCATATAATAAACATAAACTATGGAGGGCTTAATACTTACTTTAGGCAAACTTCATTGTGTATAAATGCATTTTACAGCACAACAAGCAGCACACTTGCTCTACCCTTATGCTCTGTGTACCTGAGATGTACGTGCAACTCCTAGCAGGGACCCACATTACCTGAAATTGTTCTCCTCTGGCCCTCAGAACTGCAACTATTCCAGGAGATGACATTTGTCAGCTTTTGCTCCAGAAAAGCTATTCCCATATAGTCTTCCCTTAAAAATTTCAGAAGAGCATGTCTGGAATTCATTCAGCCATTTCCGTCGTAATGCCCGTAAACTCTGAACACATAAATTACGTGTCATTAGTGGAGAAGGGTGGTGTGCCAACTCACACTAGCACCACGTTTTGGAGGTGCTCGGCCAGGGATGCAGATTCACAACCCCCAGCAAGATCAATAGCACAAACTCAGGCTGCGTGTGGCGGGGGAGTCTTTGAATGCTTCGGATCACAGAATCATAGAATTGTTTAGGTTGGAAAAGACCCATAAGATCATCGAGTCCAACCATCAGCCTGGCACCACCTAGTCCACCACTAAGCCACGTCCTGACGTGCCATGTCCATTTGTGCACAGAAGGAAGCAGTTTGGAATTTCTTGCTCGTATTTCTTCCGGGCCGCTTGACTTCAAGTTTATTTTAAAGCACAATGAAGGTTGATTACTTCTAGTAATAGGTGAAGTGCTGCGGAGTCAAGAAGCAGACGAATTTTAAAAGATCTTATGTAACTCTAGTGATATTTTTAAGCCTACTAATTGGCAGGTGCTTCTCACAAATAAGGAGGAGGTGACTTTCTGAAAATATATCTGCCCCTCGAGTGCAGCACGGCTCACTTCATCGCTTTTATCACCAACTGGGATTCAACACCTGTAAAAATGAAGAAGGTAGCACTCATTTTTAGAAAGCAGTAATCAAGAGGAAGCTTTCCTCCCCAGCACAAGGTGAAGGTGTGAGGAGAGAAGAAGACAACCTGATCAAGGCCACCCAGCTCAGCCTGCAGCTGCCAGTGGCCAGCAGCCAGGTCTGGTGGGCAGCACCGCAGGGTGGTGGGTCGCGATACCCCACCGAGCCAGGCAGCTCGTGGAGGGGCGAGGACAAGCACGGTGCTTGGCAGCAGTGCTGTCAGTAGCCAGCTTGTTTGCGCTCTCTCTTTTCCGCTTGACGCAGGCACCCTCAGCACCCAGCAGAGAGAAACGCTGGGAGCGTGCCCCATGCAGGCAGCCCAGGAGGGAGGGTCCGACGCCGTCCGCCTCGCCTGGAGGGTGGCAGACGGGGCATTTGGCTCCCAGCGCTTACACATTAACGTGCAGAAACCTGTCTACGTGCTTTTTCTTTCTTTCTTCTTCTTTTTTTTTTTTTTTTTTTTTTTTTTCTTCTGGATATCTTAATTCTGCTGATGCAAAGTGCGAGTGAAATTACAGGTGCCAGTTTGCAATGCAGAGCGCTGATAAACAACTTGCCATTTTGCAGTGGCTGGTCACATCTGGAGCCTTTTGGGATGCAAAAGTACTGGAGGATTATTGCAAAACTTGAAGACAGTTATGTTACCATAACTTTTGTTTTTAGCCTAAAATTTGTAGATTTATTTTCTTTCTTTTGGATTATTTTACTGGTTATGCTATACTTACTTAGCTAACCAGCTAACTCAGCAGCAAAACTGAAAGAGAGCCAGTCCTGAAGCTCTTGTCAGAAAACTTTTTTAGTTTGACCTTAGACTGAGACAGGCTGGTATAAAACCATGGATCAGTGGATTGTGTTTCATTAATTTCGGCATATTTTAAAACTCCACAACCTACAGCCCCCACCCCTGACATAACTATGTTGTTGTGCAATGCCCAGCACCATTGTACAGCGTTGGAAAAAAAACAAAGAGCAACAACAAAAAAAAGCACGCGCGCACACACACACACAAGTGTGATGAATTTGAATTCATCTTTTTCCTCCTTGAAGTCCTCATACTACTTCTGTAGCACAGCGAGATCAACAGACAAACATAAAGAGACAGACAGATGGATCCACGGCACACACTGCGAAGGCTGTGGCAGTAAGAGCCCCTCGCTCTTGCATTTTGTTATTTTTGTAGCTCTTCCTGCACAGAACACGCTGGCGTAACGCTCAGCTATGTACTGCCGCAGCCTTTTACCGTTGTGAAAGCCCCCAGCCACTCTTGAAAATCCACGCTGAAATTCGAGAGGCTGCTAGGAGATTAATATTTGTTTATAATATTATTAGTCATTTCTATTTGCTAACACATGCGTGGAGACACAAAGGGGCTTGAGGAAGGTTTGATTCTTCACGTTTCTGGTACACGGCAGCATTTGGAAACCCTCGCACAATTTCCATCAGGTCACTGTAGTAATAATTATGCATGTATGCAGTTAATGTTCCCTGACTGCTTCTGATCCGCTACGTCTGCTCCCGCTCGGCGCTCTCCTGTAGAGATCACACGGTCTGAAGGCAACACGCGGCAGGCTGGTCGGACCTCGGCACCCCAGCAGGTTCACAAGCCCTGCTCCAAACCCATGCAGAATGGGAAATGAAATGCTAATTCGCACCCACCCCCCACCCCTTAACATCTCATATATTTTTGTTGTGTTAGAAATATCTGAAATGGCTTTGATGTCTTTTCTGTGATTATCCACAATTTCCTGTTATGTAAGGTATCTCTCGGGAGACTTGATAGTCAAGAGTAAGTTGCACTGGGAATTATAACTAAGGTCTGGCCCAGCCTTGTTTTTTAGCTCACTGAGCATTACTGGTGTGTAGAGCACTGTATTTTTCCTATACTCTTTAGTCTGTTTATATAAAATATTCACTCTGAAACTGAGAATGCTCCAAATTTATCCTCTTGTGGCACACGTGATCATTCATGAGAATCGAGTTAAATATAGGGTGGGATTTTTTTTTTTTTTTTTGCTTCAGAGAAGATACCGTCAAGTTGGGTCTGGCTTTTTTCCCCCTTCCTTATGAAGGTCAGTGGTCATTTAGGACAGTTTTCTATCACGCATTTCAAGTGCTAAGGCAGTGCTTGCTGCAGGATAAGCGCGATAACTTGTCAGGGAGTCTCAGCTCGTTCTTCAACCCATTCTGCCCATGTGGTGCAGAGAATTTTCATGGAAGCATTTCAGGGAAGAAATTTTGTGGTTTCATGGAAGTCCCAGCCTGGTTATGGTGAGCCACGTGACGAGCCACCTTTTGTCCCGTGACAATGCAACGCACACTACTTCGATCACGTCCAGAGGTATTTGGTTGCATATTGATAGCTGTGGGAAGAGAAATCTGACAGTTTTTCCCCTTTGCCACATGTGCCAGATTCTGGTGTTGCCTTCGGTGGTGTTTGTGGGATGAACAGCTTGTAGGATACACAACCAAAGTCAGACACACATCTTGGAGCTCCCTGGCCTTGCCACTCTCCCATCCAAGCATACGATCACCCTTCTTTCGTGCATTTATTGCAGCATGTCGTACCTCAGCTCCATTCCTAACAGTGTCCTTGACCTTCAGCGTTTTCCTCCTAGTGCTCCCTTATAGCTGCTGCATTCAGAGTCTGTTCTGCTCCTAGTTTCCTCCTCAGCTCCTCCAGCACAGCACAGCTTTGCACAGGGTGTGTTTAGAAATGCAAGTGTGCGTAAAGAAGTATCGGTGTACACAGGATTTTTTTCATTATTTCCTGTACCTGAGGTTGCCCTTTTTGCCCTTTTTGACATTTTCTGTGAGCAAAACATCACGAGATGTCTTCATTGTCCTGTGGCTCAATGCAGAAATAACTATGGCCTTAAAATTCTGCCACTAAAATATTTTAAGAGACATTTAAACCTTTAAATGTGCCAAATGCATTCAGGTTTTGCTAACTTAGCCATCTAACAACATGCAGATTTCCTCTGCGATTTTTGCCCTACCTATCTGCAGAGAACAGGGCCCCCACGACCCTCCTCTTTTCAGTGCTCTCCTTTTCTATGCACCTGCACTCCTGCTCCCCAAGGGAAGCAAAGAAACTTTCCGCATTCGGTTGTAACATACCAAAAGCCTGGTGCTTTTGACGCAGACGTGCATGCCATCTCCATGCACACTGGGATACTGGGATATTGTAACCTAGCTGAAAGCACAGCACCCAAGTACCTTGAAAAGGAAAATGACATCACGAACTATGGACGGACTTAAGGAAAAAAATAAAGTAAAAGGCCACTGTTTGACAAAGGCTACTGTTTGACTCCAGGACTGGGTGCCTATCTGCTCCACTTGACCCTCAAGTCTTGCCTGAGCATCGGCTGCAGTACTTCCACTGCACTGGTAAATGATATAGTGACTATGGTTAAAAGGAGAGGGATACAAGGGTTAATGAGTTGTTGGCATTTCTCCTCTGCCTTGTGGTCTGCTAAGTGCACAAAATAACCTCATGCCAAATCCAGCGCATTTGGGAGTTCTTATCAGAAAGAATCTAAACTTGGGCACAGAAGGCTTATGGTGAAGTGGGCATCCCTCTGAAAAGATGTCATTTCAAAGAAATCACTGACGCTGAGATGAGTTGTGCCAGGAAAAAAAAAAAAAAAAAAAAAAATGTCCCTGTGGCTTTTCAGCTCCATCCCCAGAGGGGAGTCTGGGACATGCTCTAAACCCAGTGGTGTTGAGAGAGGGGCCCCTGGCAGGTGGCCAGGTGGCTGGATGTTGGGGGGCAGAAAATTCAGGAATTTGGGGACTTTGAGCCATCCACACAGAACTGCTCTTCCCTCTGGTCCTCCTGGCTGTCTATGAGAGCAAACGGAGAGACACGTGGCTTGCAGAGTGCAGGGGACCTTCAGGCAGGAGACGTCAGACCCAGCCACATCGTGCCCAACAAGCTGTTGAGCATCAGGGTGTGAGCTGAAGGCTGCTGGAGACCCCCCATGTTCTGCTCAGCACTTCAGCTCCAGCCACATCCCTCGTTGGGTACCCACAGGCATCCTTTACTGAATCTGGCCCATGTCAGATGCATCAAATTATTCTGAAGAATTTCGGTCCTGTGCAATGAGTATTGATACTGTGATAACTCAGGCAGCATCAGGGCTTCATTGAGCAAAGCTCTTCCAGACAATGAAAGTCTCTGATCCATAAAACAGACAAGGCTTTAGCAGAAATACAATGGATGAAGCTGGGAACAGCGACAACAAAAAGAAAGCTGCAGCAAGAGCCCAGAAGATTTGTCCACACTGAAGGGCTGAGAGTCATATGGCATGAGCAAGGGGATGAGAGAAGGTGGCTCTGCTTGGCCTCACAGAGCACCAACTGTTATTACAATCACTATCAAAGTTAGAGGAAATTGCATCCACTTTACTGTTGAAAAGTACAAAATGTACAAAGCTTTCCTAGCATCCATAAACAGTTGAATATATTAGAAAATAGAGGACACAGGGCTTGCTGTTGTTCTTCAATCTCAACTCATATTGCTTCCAGTGGCCATTTAACCTCGATAAAGACAGAAAGATCCAGGCCCAATGTTTTTAATTACAAGTGGCATTTCCAAGCCTTCTGTGGTCTGCGTCTAATCCAAAAAAGTGACTTCATTTTGGACTCTGGCACTATGGATGCTCTGTGCAAAAGGCAGACTGCAAACTAGTTTCCATCCTGCTTTAATAATAGATTCACAATCCAAAAAGGAACTTTAAACAGTTTATTTTAATATTCAGGCTTAAAGCTTTCCTTCTGTAAGGGGGTATATAACCCAGCAGTAAAACAATGTCTTTGAAAGCTGACTTAAAAGGTCTTAGGAAAGCGGTGGATTGTTAGATTCAGGCTCTCAGCAGTTAAAAAACAGTTGAGCAGAGAGAAACAAATTGGCAGCTCGTGTGACCAAATCTGCCCCAACTCAGTGATGGGCTCAACCTCCTCTACACAGACAAAATGTTCAGGATGCCCTGATGCAGAAACAAACGCTTGCTGCAGTGTGAGGCCAGTGTGGAAAAGGTTTCTGTGGAGCGAGGCACGAAGTGAGCCCTTCTGCACCTGCAGAGCAACGAGAGAAAAGGCGTGCAGAACAAATAGGATGGGAGGGACAGTGTGAGAGAACCAGAAAGAAAAAAATGCAGTGAACACTAGGATCTGTTTTCTGCATGGCCAATAGCCAGAGGAAATATTTTTCTAATGGGTGGATAAGGGCTTGTCTTCTGCTGAGGTGTGACCAAGCCCCACTGAGGCTCCGGTGAGCTTTCAAGGAATTGGCAGAGGCCAGGGGAATCCACATGGAAAAACAAACAAACAAACAAACAAACAGTTTTTATCCCAATTAGATGTGAAAGTCCTGTTGGATGAGCTATTTACCATTTCCTTTGAGAACTTTGTAGACCCAGTGT